TTCAAGACCTTTATCATGAAGGGTTGTTGGATTTTGTCAAAGGCTTTTTCATCATCTAGTGAGATGATCATGTGTTTTTTTTTTCTTCAGTCTGTTTATATGATGGATTACATTGATGGATTTTCGTATGTTGAACCATCTTGCATCCCTGGGATGAAGCCTACTTGATCGTGATGGATGATTTCTCTGGTGTGTTCTTGGATTCAATTTGCCAGTATTTTATTGAGAATTTTTGCATCAATGTTCATGAGGGATATTGGTCTGTAGTTATCTTTCTTAGTTTTGTCTTTGTGTGGCTTGGGTATCAATGTTATTGAAGCCTCATAAAAAGAGTTTGGCAATGATCCTTCTGCTTCTATTGTGTAGAATACTTTGAGAATTGGTATTAGCTGTACCTTGAATTTCTGGTAGAATTCTGCACTGAAGTCATCTAGCCCTGGACTTTATTTGGTTGGGAGACTTCTGATGACTGCTTCAATTTCATTAGGGGTTATTACTCTTCATTATATCGATTCTTTGTATTGTTCTCCTAGTTTCCATTTTATTGATTTCAGCCCTCAATTTGATTGTTTCCTGGTGTCTCCTCCTCCGGGGTATATTGGTTTCTTTTTTTCTAATGCTTTCGGTTGTTCTGTTAATTCTCTAGTGTGATTATTCTCCTGTTTCTTCATATGAACACTAATTTATGAACTTTCCTCTTAGTACTGCTTTCAAAGTGTCCCATAGGTTTGGGTATGTTGTGTCCACATTCTCATTGAATTCTAGGAAATCTTTAATTTCTTTTTTTATTTCTTCCTTAACCCAGGAATTGTTCAATTGGATGTTACTTAATTTCCATGAGTTTGTAGGTTTTCATGTTGTTGTTGAATTCTAACTTTAAAGCATGGTGGTCTGATAAGATACAGGGGGTTATTTCAATTTTTTTGTACTTGTTGAGGTTTGCTATGTTGCCAAGTATGTGGTCGATTTTAGAGAAGGTTCCATGTGGCACTGAGAAGAAGGTAAATTGTTGTGTATTTGGATGGAATGTTCTATAGATATCTGTTAAGTCCAATTGGGCCATAACTTCGATTAGTTTCTTTGTTTCTTTGTTATATTTCTGTCTGGTGTTCCTGTCCAGTGGTGAGAGTGGGGTGTTGAAGTTTCCCACAATAAGTGTGTGCAGTTTTATGTGTGACTTGAGTTTTAGTAATGTTTCTTTTACAAATGTGGATGCCTTTGTATTTGAGGCATAAATGTTCAGAATTGAGACTTCAATCCTGATTGATTTCTCCTGTGATGAGTAGGAAGTGTCCTCCTTTTTCTCTTTTGATTGATTTTAGTTTAAAATCCACTTTGTTGGATATTAGGATTGCTACCCCCACTTATTTCTTGGGTCCATTTGATTGGAAAATCTTTCCCCAACCTTTAATTCTTAGGTACCATCTGTCTTTGAATTTGAGGTATGTTTCTTGTATGCACATAAGTATGGATTATCTCTTCTTATCCATTCTGCTAATCTGTGTCTTTTTATAGGTGAGTTAAGACCATTAATGTTGGTGTATATTAATGACCATTGATTGTTCATTCTTGTTTGTTTTGGATTTGGTGGTGGTGGTGGAATTATGTGTGGGATTCTATCCCTTTTTCCTTTTGGCTATTGGTAAAGTGGGATTATCTATTGCCTATATTTTTCTGGTTGTAGTTAACTTCCTTGGGTTGCATTTCATTCCAGAACTTTCTGTAGGGCTAGATTGGTGGATATGCATTGTTTGAATCTGATTTTGTCATGGAATATCTTATTTTCTCCTTCTATATTGATTGAAAGCTTTGCTGGGTATAGTAGTCTGGGCTGGCATCCATGGTCTCTTAGTGTAGGTAGAATATCTATCCAGGACTTTCTGGCTTTCAGAGTTTGCATGGAAAAGTCAGGGGGAATTCTGATAGGTTTGCCTATATAAGTTACTTGACCTTTTTCCTTTGCTGCTCTTAATATATTCTCTTTGTTCTGTATGTTTGATGTTTTGATTATTATGTGGTGAGGAAACCTTTTTTTGGTTCAGTCTATTTAGTGTTCTGTAGGCTTCTTGCATTTATATTGGCATGTCTTTCTTTAGGTTGGGAAATTTTTCTTCTATGATTTTGTTGAATATATTTTCTGCACCTTTGAGTTGGATTTCTTCACCTTCTTCTATACCTATTATTCTTTGGTTTGGTCTTTTCACGCTATGCCATATTTCCTGGATATTTTGTATTAGGGATTTGTTGGACTTAAGATTTTCTTTGGTTGATGATTCTATTTTGGCTAATGTGTCTTCAACTCCTGAAATTCTCTCTTCCATCTTTTGTTTTCTGTTGGTTATGCTTACATCTGTAGTTCCTGATCATTTACCCAGCTTTTCTATTTCCAGAATTCCCTCAGATTGTGCTTTCTTTATTGTCTCTATTCCAGTTTTTAGGTCTTGAACTGTTTCCTTGAAAGATTTGAAATATCTTGTATTTTTTGGTTAGTTTTTTCTTCCATTTCTTTAAGGGATTTTCTCATGTCCTCTTTGAGGTCCTCTATCATTTTCATGAAGATGTTTTTAAGGTCATTCTCTTCTGCTTCATCTCCATTGTGATGTTCAGGTCTTGCTGGTGTATGGTTCCTAGTCTCCGGTGGTGTAATATTGGGTTTTCTGTTGTTGAATGTGCTTTTACTTTGACCTCTTTTCATCCTTTCTTCTGGTGGGTGTAGCAGGAGTCTTCCTCTCCTGATGGGTATGAGACTTAGGTTCCCTTCTGGTAGATGCAAACAGCTCCAATACTTTGACATCTGTCCTCTTGTGGATGGACGCAGAACTGCCACCGGGCCTTGGCAGTGTCAGGGTGTGTCGGGTCCTGCTGCCGATCTCAGATCCGTCAAGCAAACCCTTGGCATCAGATGCCTCAGAGCAGGGCAGCTTCCCCAGGTTAATTTTAAATGTAAGAGTTAACTAGTAACAAACCTGAGATATTGACCAAGCATCTATATTTAATATTGAGTCTCTGTGTTGGTTATTTGGGAACTGGAGGGCAAGAAAGAAAAGTCCATCTACAAATGACATTCCAATGTGGGGCCAGAATTTCCACATATGACAAGAGAAAGCTTTAAACAAGTTCTGAACACACAAAAACAGAGCCAAATTCAGCTTCCTAGTCTCATGTCTCTCATGCTGGCTATGGTACAGAGATGCATCTCCTGGAGTACACCATGAGCTAAGCTGCATGGCAGGTTCTCTCATTCTCTCACATGGGTCACTGCACAGAGTGGTGTCTCTCAGCTGCTGATTGTGGGCTTCAGCTTAAAGTTCAAACTCCATCAGGGTGCTACATGGCAGGTTTTGGATTTTGCTCATGCAGACAGAAAAGATTACAGATAAGATTCAGATGGAGAAAAAAAAAAAAAAAAACAAACAAAAAAAAAAACCTCTGAACAGGTTACAGTGTGTTTGAAAATATACATAGGCTTAAGAGAGAAAAGAGAGGGTATAGATAGTCAATATATATACATATTGCTTTACAATAATAAAATAAAGTCTTCAAATTGGAGTAAAGTAACATAAAAAATAAGGCATGTAAAGATGAAAATACAGAGTCTGGATTCTGTATGTTATTGTGTTGTCTTTAGATTTTCTGATTGCTAATAAAGAAACACCCCCAAACAACAGTTAGTTTAGAGAACTATGGCCATATTCCCAACAAATGGATTATGGGTGTTTAAAGTCAAAGGTCTCTCTCTGAAAGAAAAGGGGGGTTGTAGAAATGATAAGATAAAATGGTAAATGGTAGATAATTGAATCTACTTTTAAAGT